AATTACATTTATTTCTATGACAATAATGTTTTTGAAACTTTCTAAAAGAAACTTCTTAAAAAAAAGAACATTTAAATATAAAAATTAATATTTTTAGCAAAATTTTCATATAGTTATTTTTACCAAAAAATAACAGTGATGCATTTCCCGAATTCAAGCCTAACAATAACCATATATGCTTAGGTTGCATCCAAATGGTACCCAAATCTCAAACAATATATTTCCATATATACAAATGCCAATGTAAAACTCATTTTCATATCATGTATGCATTTGAGCAATACTAACGTTAATCATTCATAGAATTAGAAGATTTTATTTCATACTAGATTAATGTGATTTAATTAATTTATGGGCATCTAGGATTGGTTGTGTATGGATCTAGCCGCATGGCCACTGATAGATAGAACAATAGTTTCTAAATTTAGCCAAATTGAGATCGCATTTGTAAGGGAACGGGCTGCCATGATTAGTTGGTGCACGAATCCATGTGTCATGGAATTGGGTTCTTCATACAAGTGGAGTTCTGTGATGGGGGCGCGCACCACCATTGTGTGGAACGCAATCCTACGATGAATGGAGCTCAATCCTAGCCAAATAGGATCATGGTATTGTTTAAATGGGGGTGAGACTCAACATTAAATAGGATCTCGTTCTTATTGTCGACGGGAGTACGATCCTAATAAACATGTGAGCGCGATCCCATATTAAAAATTCAGTTAAATGTCTCCAACATTGAACTATACAATTTGAAAAGTATGTCTATGAGGTATAAGGCAATCTAATGTTTCCAATATATTCTCGATCTAATATCCGGAGCATTTGATTACCCTAGAAACAACAAAAAAGACAGAGATATAGTAAAAAACCGATCCTAAGTTTATGTTTATAATATTAGACCAGTGGCAAAATGAGATTGTTGAGAGAGAGCGGGAGGACTCCATATGTATCCGAACTGAGATCCTTTTAAGTTTTGTACTGTCAAATCCAAAGAATTCACAAATCATTTTTTTCCTAGATAATTATGTAGAGGACGTTTGAAAACCTGAAAATCTATTACATAAAAATAGATTACATGTAAATGTGATATTTCTATTGTTTGGGCAGTTTGGGAACCTGAAAATCTGAAAATAGATAACACGTAAATATGATATTTCCATTGTTTGGATAGGTAAAGAAATGGAAAAAGATTACCTCAGATTTTCGAAAAATCAGGAAATTTATTAGCCGCTTGAAAGGTGAAAAAGACGGTTTGACAGGTAATCGGAGTAATTTTTCGAGTGTTACTTTCTCCCATTTGACGAGTAATCGGAGTAATTTTTCGGGCGGGATTTTCTACCAAAAATCTAATGATTCACTTCCTCATAAACCAAAAAAAAATTGTTTAACTCACAGCTAAAAAACGGTAGCCCCAACTTCTCCAACCAATCTTATGCGATCAATAGGTCCATTTGCCAACTGAATCACATATATATTTAAACCTCAAAAATCACAAAAATAACACAGCAATCCCATCTTCTTTTGCAAACTGAATCAGTACATATATTTAAACTTCAAAAATCACAAAAATAACTAATCAATTCCATCTCCTTTTTCAAACTGAATCGGCACATATATTTAAACCTCAAAAATCACAAAAATAACATAGCAATCCCATTTTCTTCAACTAGCAACTAAAACCCACTGCCTATCTTGTGCATTTAGCTGCTAAAACGTCCAGCCTATCTTTTGCAGAGACATTAATTATATCTTGTGCAACTACCGTTGTAGCTATTGTTTATTTCTAGATATCCAATATTTATTTTTGGGTTATACAACCACAATTGTAGCTGTTTATTTCTAGATATCCAAGATTTATTTTTTGGATTATACAACCTAGCTATTGTTGAAAAAAAAAAAACGGATTTGATTTCCCTGCTAAGATCAATATGTTTATTTTTTTGCCTTTATTTTTTATTTTTTTTTGCTATTGTTTGTTGATAAATTCGAAATGCTTGAGTTCACTCACAGATAATCGTCAAATCAATGGACTTGAAATTTTTTTTTTTTTTTCAGAACTTTTTAAAATTAATTTATCTCTTCAATCTCCTCCAATGCCCCCAACATAATTCTCCTCCAATATATCGCATTTAGTCATAAAACCTTCTAGGTTACTAGCCAAATTTTTCCAAACTTTTTTTTTTTTTTTTGAATTTTCCATGGAAGTTTTCTGGAGAGAGAAGATTGAAAGGCTTTAGCACAATGAGAAAAACATAAAAAATATGATGGCTTATCATAATAAAAGTATGTTATTCCAAAGTGTTAATATCTTGAAAACATGTGATTTCAAGTTAAGATGCAAAAGCATACAAAAAGTATGGCTAATTGTTATGCCTGATGAAATTATAAAGTTTAAGCTACATACTAATAGGGATAAAGTTTAAACTACATACGAATAGGGATAAAGTTTAAGCTACATACTAATAGGGATTGTACTCTCAACCAAGTTTTGGGTATAATGCCAAAAAAAAAAAAAAATGTTGGTGATGCATTTCTCATATTTCTTCCGGACATAGCCAAACAGTAACAATGTATTTTCCAGGTTGTATCTAAATACTACCCAAACAATGACAAATCCATTTACAAGTAATGTACTACGCAGTAATGTATTATGCCAGTAATATATTTCACAAAATATATATTTCCAGCTATCCAAACGGCCCCGTAGTGATTCTTGAGTGGATCTAAAAAAGCTCTTGTGTGTGGTATACTTGCTAAAAAGATCTATGACCATGTTCTTGGTACAGTACTTTCCTACTAAAGGTACCATGTGTATAATCGGTGATAGCATTCTCCTCATACCCAGGTACCACATCGTGGTATCCATTCTTAGAGCTGACACCTCCAATTAACACTTACAAAATGAACTCCCCAATCTATTGAAAAAATAGGTAGATCTTGTTTTCTCCATTGAATTAAACAAAACAAAAAAAAAAAAAACCTATAAAACTGATCACGATCCATAACCGTTCATTTTCAGAGTGATCCAATGCCATACCTGTACCGTACCATTTCTTGAGTCAGTGTCATAATAGATATGTACACAATTCATTATGTACCTCACAGTATCAGAATCGGTGGCATTGGATTGTCGTATTGGCCAAGTCATGCCATGAAACAGTAAACCAATTGGGAAAGAAAAGAAGTCATATCCTCAAAGCCATCAAAATTGAAGTTTTTATTTTAATATGGGATGTGGGAACCACAAGAAAAAACATATGCACGGGTGAGCAATTTAGTCCTAATTTCACTGTTGTTTCTTTAAGTTGAATTGTACTATTGGAATTTCAATTTGAATTGCTCGGTGCCATGGACATTCCCCGTTTACTTTATTTTGTATGTTAACATGTTTATTTTGTATGTTAACAAGTTTCGGCACTTAGATATATGTCAACGCACCCAAATATGCACCTGATTTGCTACTTGTACATATTGAGAAAATTATTATGACGATATAGTGTGTTAAAACTTTATAAAACATTTCTAAATTTCAACGGTGTGGTTTGCATAAGGTTGTAATTTTAAATTATCAAAATAAGGTACACCTCCAAACTTTGCCATAAGACGCAATCATGTAGTCGAAATTTTTTGGATGACCCGAGAATCTATTTTTGCCTGAAA